TGTTTTGTTTTTTGTTTTTTTGAATGTCCAGAGGACCAGATTGAACTTTTTTGGATTTTTCTACCTGGATTATTGAGCATGCATCAGGATGCTTTATTCAAAGGTTTTCTGAACTGCTTATTGCTTTCCAGGAATATTTTTGTTTTTTTGATTTTTGTGCAGAGGATGGCCATCAAATGTCAAATACATAAAACCCCAATAACAAAGTGTTGGGATTTTGTATAAAATGTATTAAAGAATGCAAAGATTTGCAAATTTTGTAAATTCAAGTTCACACAATGGAAAATAGTAATATCAAATGTTTAAAACTGGCTCAATGTTTAGGTAAAAAGTTAATTTAAAAAAAGTGTGGACGGGGACAACAAAAAGCTTAAGAAACAGCAGTAAACAGTTCACAGTGCCATCCATAAATGTAGATTAAAGCTTGATCACGCAAAGAAGCCACGTGAAACCCATTTAGAAACACCCCAACGTTCACTGGGACAACGCTCATTTAAAATGAACTGAGGCAAAGTAGAAAAACTGTTCTGAGGTCAGACAAATGACAAAATTAAATTATTTTTGGAAGCCACAAGCGCCATGCCCTCCATTCCATGCATAAAAGAAGGGCGAGCTGACCTGTTATTAGTTCAGTTCAATAGCCTGCCTCTCTGATGGTATGGGGGTGTATTAGTGCCTGTGGCTTACAATTTTGGAAAGGCATCATCAATGTAGAAAAGTGTATACAGGTTTGACAATGTCTTTTTCAGGGAAAGCCTTTCATATTTTGGCCAAACAGTGCTAAACCTCATATTGAATCCTTTACAACAACATGGCTTTACAGAATAGTCCAGGTGCTGAAATGGCACAGACCTCTCAGCAACTGAATATATTTGGTGCATTGTGATCAACCCAGGACTGTTGAATAGCGAGAATCCTGCATCAAACATGAATGTGACCACATTCCCTCCAAAAGCTGCAGCAGCTGCTCTCTTCAGTTCCTAAACATGCTCAGATGAAAGAAAAGGGGATGCATCCTGTCTCAACTTTAGGATGTGCTGCTATCAAATTTTTTTTAAATGCCCAATTTTCTTAAAAAATGCTCTATTTGTTTTCAGTTTAAAAATCAGATTACATGTGTTCCCTTGTGAATAGAATCTTAAGTTTGCAAACCATTGCATTCTGTTTTAATTGACAGATTAGTGTTACAATGTCACAATTTAAACAAGCGTGCTCCACTTTTTATTGTTGCATATAAATATAATTTATTATCAGTCCTTAAAAATTCTTTCTTACACTTTGTACAATAACTTGACAGATGAAACACAAGCTGCTGCAAGGAGCATGAGTGCCAGAAATAGACGGGCTACATTCTCACTATACACAACAACAATAGTTATGAAGCTGAGGGAATGCAAACACTAGACCACTGAGAATGGGAAGATTGTTTCAAAAGGATGCAATGTTTGCATAGACAGCTTTACAAAAATTGGAACAAATGCTATTAAGAAGGGGAAAAAAAACTTTCAAGTGCTGCTTCATTAAAGGAATGTTGCGTTTACAGATGTCACATGACCAATATCAGCGTACATTGAAGGCTTCTCTTACTGAATGCACAGACATCAGTCTGAGTTCAAATTTCTACTTTTCGCCAAAAGTACCGAACACGTGAAATTTCTTTAGCAGATTAACTTTTGTAATGAATGTACATAATTTTGTAGAAAGCAGCTCGTCAGTTGCGTTGGTTCTACAAAACATTTACATGTGCATCTTAAAAAATGTGAATATCATGAAAAAAGGTCAAAATTTCTCGTCAGTCATTTCAAAATATCAAACTCATATATTTCATAGTTTCATTACACATAGAGTGAAATATTTCAAGCCTATATTTCTTGTAATGTTGATGATTATGGCTCACAAATAATGAAAAAACAAAACTCAGTGTTTCAGAAAATTAGAATATTAATTAGTCAGATTTTGGTGTTTGTCAGTGTGGGCAGGAGCTGAGTCCTGCTGGAAAATGAAAGCAGCATCTCCATAAAGCTCATCAGCAGAAGGAAGCATGAAGTTCTCTAAAATGTCCTGGTAGATGCTGTGTGGACTTCAGAAAACAGTGGACCAACACCAGCAAAGGACATGGACCCAAACCATCAGTGACTGTGGAAACTTCACTCTCCACTCATCCACCAGACTCTGGGACCTTGATTTCTAAATGACATGCATTTATTTAATCTGAAAAGAGAACACTGGACCACTGAACAACAGTTCTGTTCTTCTTCTCAGCCAGGTAAGATGCTTCTGATGTCGCTGGTTCAGGCGTGGCTGGACTTGAAGAATGAGACATTTGTAGCTCATGTCTAGGAGTTAATCTTCTGATCAGGCTGACTCCCAAGAGTTTACAATATTGAACCTCTTCGCAATATTGTAATTTTCTGAGACATTGAATTTTAGTTTGCCATTATTCGTAAGCCATTATCATCAAAATTACAAGAAATAAAGGTTTGAAATATTTCAGTATATCGGAGTTTCACTTTCTGAAATGATCGACTAAAAACTTTTTCCACGATCTTCTAATTTTTTGAGATGCCCCTGTATTAATTTTATTATTGGGGTCTGTTTGATCATCAGCCGATTATAAGGTTCAGTTGTAATTTCTATCTTCATGAGTCATTTTCTTAATTTCTCCATGTAAATAACCAAACTGATATGTGGACAAAAAAGGCTAAATAAGCATCATTACAACTCAAAACAAGATTTTAAAAGTTGATAAAATAAAGCACCAATAGCCCTAAATCTATAATGATGCATAACATAATAAGCAAATACTAAAAATCAATATTAATTTCCTTCTGGATGGAAGTGTCTGACAGGATGTGTCGTTTCTTCACCAGGCGGCCACCAGATGGCGCTATGACTCAAGTCAAACATAACTAGGGAGGACTCTGCAACATATTCATTAATAAGCAGAACAAAACATAAAAAGAGATGTATAAATAAGCAAATTATTAAATACTAAGTCATCAAAGAACACATGACTTGTCCATGGAGTTTCTATGGAAACTGATTTCAGAGAGCGCTCCAGATCCAAGACGTCTTCCTTTGACCTCTCCACGCGTCACTCGTGTACTGTGGTGGGTCATCCACATCCGCGCAGTTCATCCAAAAAAACTGGACAGCTGTTTCCAAGGAAACTAGAGCCAGAAATATCAAAACGCAGTACCAGAGAGAGGGAGGAAGAGCCAGAGAAGTGACTGGCAAAGATTCTTGTTTACTCTTCATGTTTTTGCAGCCTTTGTGGCCAATGTTTAACTGGGTCATGGCTGAGAGAGACCTGGCTGTTCCTATATCCTTACTCCTGTGAGTGTACACTCAGGCAGCATTTATAGGTGCGAGCAAGCAATTTGTCACTGAGATATCCAAACGAACGTCCCCCGTTTGTCACCGAGTCTCTCCTTTTCTTTTCGGGACTTTCTTCCCGTCTGCAGCGGGGCAGGTGGCATCAGTGCTCGGTCACAGCGGGAACAAGGCTGTCATGGCGTCCCATCTCTTCCAGGACCTGAGCGAGGCGACTGAGGTTGCCGTCAGGAAAATGCTGGGCCTCCCATAAATCCAGAATCACTCCTGTAGGGCTGGATTTGGTGGCAAAGTAGTTCAGATACCTACATGAACAATTTGACAAACAGAGAAAATGAGGTTTAAATGAAAGGCCTTGAAGTCCTTAAATAAATATATACTGACTCCAGCTTAAGCTAAGATCTTATGATGATGAGACGTGATGGAGTTGTTTGTCAAACCTTAAAAATAATATGATATGAGTATATATTGTGAATGACTCTTAGCTACAACAACATCAAATTTCAACCCAATGTCTGTAAAATTGACTGAGTTACCAATTGGAAAAAAAAAAAAAAATTGTCCGCTTTCACCTGTTGTAACAATATTTCTTATTAAAATTGTAAAAACCTTATTTTTTCTTGACTGCGGTCGGTGAATCAGTAATTCTTGAATTCAGTTTTTAGGAATGTTTCGTAAGTGTGGGAGAAAAAAAAAACCATAAAGGCTGAAAAAAAAACCCAACTTGGTGATATAAATTTGGAAGAAAGTCCCGCGCTGCTGATTACAAACCAGTCTCTCTAAGCTTCAAAGCACTTGTTGTCCTAATTGGTTATTACAAAAAAAAAAAGAAAATCACACAAATGCTTTTTAAAAATTATTTCTCAGTCCAAATATTTTAACTAAACCTCCAATAAACTTTTCATTTTAATCTAAAATGCTAAAAGTAAAACAAAGTGTTTTAATATCTTAACACTCCAAACTATGAAGTAAATCTAAGAAAGTTCTTATTTCCCTTTAATTACAAAAGATGATTGATTTGATGCTTGGATCTTCAAATATTTCAGCGATTAGTTAAATGGACTAAACTTTCTCCTTTTCTAAAATCCTTCTCCATCCATCTGTCAAATACTCTGTTCAACCAAACTTAGATTAAGTTGAATTATTAAAACATTTCACTCGTCTCCAGGCCTGCCTGTGAGTCATCTTTAGTTAGAATTTTGATCATGTTAAATGACGCTGATACGAACTTGGATCGACTGTTTTTCACCAGATCTTGATGGAAAAATAAAACGAATGTTTGCAAATGTTCTTTAGTTTTAAACTGAATAAACGTGCATGTTTACATTAGTTGTGGTCTAAAAGAATGGATGCAAGTTTAAAAAAAAAAAAAGGCTTGATTTAAAATTGTCCAATTCAGTCTTTTTACTGTTCATTAGCTTTTTTCATTTTGAATTAATGTTCAGGTTTATTGTAAAGCCTATAAGAATATCAAAGACCTTTGCAAATGTCCATGCGTCTTTTTTTTCCCTAATTTTTTGTTTGTAATCACAGCAGCTGCATTGTTTTGTTCCACTTTTTTCCATTTAATTTCTTAATACAAATCCAGAGAAGATGGTCATTTGTCAGGCTGGTCACACAATAAGTCATGAACAAGTTAACAGCTTGTTGAAAAACTCACAGAAAGCTATCACTGTGCTAGTGCTGTCTTGTCTGTTAGCAAAATATACGCCATGACCAACGCTCTCAGAAAGTAATCATGGAATGTGCATCCACAATTGGAGGCAGTTCCATTTAAGATGGCCGCCACAGTTAATCAACATTAGGCAACACAAAAAGGATTTTAAACTCAGTTAGTGTTACAGATGGTGAGCTAAAATTTGATTTAGTAATAGCTGAGAGTGAAATTTTCAGAGTAACATACGATATTGCATGACATTGTGTGTATTATTTTTAAGCGTTGTAAAAAACAACTAACATGTAATTTGTCAACGCAAAGTATTAGTATAAAACTGCTACTCTCTTTAACACAGATTTAGATATGTTTGTTGTCATATTGAAGCGGTAAAGCCCTGGGGTTATTAATTCAATTTATTTCTATAGCTCTAAGACACAACAGATGTCATCTCAGAGCACTGAACAGAAACATTCATATAGAAAATAATAATTTAACTTTATTTATCTGAGGAGCAGACTGCTTTGAATTTAATTCCATCACAGAACTCTCATCTTGAGTGAGCATGAAGGCGACAGTGGAAAGGAAAAACTCCCTCATGAGGAAGAAACCGTTAGCAGAACCAGGCTCAGGACAAGTGGTCATCTGCTTCAACCGGCTAGGTTTGAGGAATAGATACACAATGACAGGTCAAGAATCATATGTTAAGATAGAAATAGTATCATATGAAAACTATTCAATTGTAACAATTCATTTAAGAAAATAAGGTCAATTTGTCCTCTACTAGTCTAAGCCTATGGCAGCATAACAAGCCAACCCTAACTATAGGATTTATCAAAAAGGTAAGTCTTAAGCCCAGTCTTAAAACTGGACAATGTGTCAGCCTCACGGACAGAAACTGGAAGTTGGTTCCACAAGAGAGAAGCCTGATAACTGAAAGATCTTCCTCCCATTCTGCTTTTGGAAACTCTAGGAACCACGAGTAAGCCTGCAGTCTGATAGTGAAGTGCTCCGTTGGGAAAATATGGAACAATAAGATCTTAAGTATAAGATGGAGCTAGGTTGTTGAGAGCCTTGTAGGTTAGAAGTAAGATTTTGAATTCAGTTCTGGATTTGACAGGGAGCCAGTGGAGAAAAGCTAAAACTGGAGAGATATGATCCACACTCTGGCAGCAGCATTTTGGATTAACTGAAGACTTTAAAGAAGTATTTGAACACCCAGACAACAAACCATTGCAATAGTCCAATTAGTAAAATGTATCCATCTAAGGAAGCCAGCATGCACCGAATCTTCACTTCGTTGCCGTCTCCCATCCTGAGCAGCACAAAGGCAACAGTGGAAAGTAAAAACTCCCTTTTAACAGGAAGAAACCTCCAGCAGAACCAGGCTCAGGACGATCGGCCATCTGCTTCAACCAGCTGGGGTTTGAAAGGACAGGAAGGAGAAAGAGACAAACATTGCTTTAAGAGACTGTGTTCATTTTGACCGACGTGTTCAAGTGTAAGAAAACAAGTCCAGCTTGCTCACAGATGATTTGTGCATTAATTCTACATCAATCTAAAACAGAAGGTGCTCAAAAATTTTAAAACAGAGCAAAAGAAACCTAGAGTATTGAACTTTTGAGATAACCTTTTTTTTATTCTATATTTTCCCAACAGTGGGAGAAGCAGTTCACGCTTATTTCGATTCAACATCTTGAACCTGAGAGAAAACAGCAGATAATCTGTAGGAAAATCCTTTTTGCAGGTTTAACTGCTGCCCATAAGACCCTAAAGCCCCCATGGTTCTCTGCTGAGCCTCCGTCGATAACAGAAAATCTAGAATATTTAGAGATATTGCTCTTTCAAAAGGATTACTTGCTGAAAATCATAAACGGCAGCTCCAGGTTGTGGATTTTGTCTGTTTTCTTTCCATCCACACCTTAAAGGACAGCTATATCCGAACGCAACTCATTCCTTAATGTTTTCTTTGTGATTTACAACATCGCAGTGCAAAGATAGGGTTTGTGGTTAAAATGTTTTAAAAATATATATTTTTAGAGCACTGCGTTAAAAATCCTCCAATCCAAAAGTTGTTCGCACACAGACTAATGTGTTCTGTGAACACTCCTGAGGTGTATAATCAGTTGGAGCTGAGAGTGAGAGGTTGGTTTGAGTCTTCCCTCCTTCAAGCTGCACTCAGTAAGCGGTCTCGTCAATCTGCAGCTGCTGCTTGCGATAAGGCCGTCCTGCTGAGCTGGGATCTTATAAATTGCTGCAAACTGTACCTCCATCACACACACCACACCATCAAAGACACATGGGTGATGTTTCTGCAAAGAGGAGCGTCTCTTTATCTATCTTTCTCTCTCTCTCTCTCTCTCTCTCTCTTACTGTCTGTGTTTTTTTGTCTCCCATCACTCCAACTTAATTAATTCCCATTCAGCTGATGCTTATCAACTCGAGTCGCAGAACAATCACGATCAAATTAAAAATAGATCTGTTATCTGCAGTTTTTTTTTTTTTTTTCCACCCATGCAATCTTGACGTCTGCATCTAAAGAACACGGTGCACACGAGCGGAGATGTGAGTATTGATTTTTGTCGGTCAGACCACGGAGGTCTTCGTGTAAGACGACGACTAAATTCACCACCTGTCGAGGTTGAGCTTGTGGGCCAACATCCTCCAGTCGTTGCCTCTGGTCTGCGGCGCGTCCAGGCTGCCGCACAGCTTCTGTCGGATGGAAACGGGGATCCGAAAGGCATTTGGCCCGACCAGCGTGGTGATGTTGCTGGCAGGGTCGAGCAGGGACGTGTCGATGCTCTGCGACTCCTGCAACCAGAGAACAAATAAGAAAAACGGTTTTAAAATGGGCCCTTGTTTGGCTAGTCATTAGCATAGCCTAGATGAAGACTTCTGCCCTTTTCCTCATACTCTATGCTATATGACTGACATTACAGCCAACAAGATACTATACATGACAGAATGTCACTTCATAATTGGCTGCTTCAAAGACAACATTCACTTATTGTTTCATATTTTCCAAACAGCACTTCACAGACTGCAGGTTTACTTGTGGTTCCTGGAGTCTCTAAAAGTCGATTAGGAGGCAGAGCTTTGAGCTAGCAGATTTCTCTCCTGTGGAATCAACTTCCAGTTTCTGTCTATGAAGCTGACCCATCTAAGACTAAGCTAAACACTTTATTTTATGATAAATCCTATAGTTAGGGATGGCTTGGTTTTCCTGACCTGTCCTTTAGTTCTTCTGCTATATGCTTAGACTGCTGGAGGACAAACTCACCATATTCCCTCACTCTACTGCTCATGATTCTATTTGCAATTCTTTTTAGCGTTAACATGTTTTTCTTTGTCTTTCTTCCTTTAGACAGTAAACTGGACCCGACATTCTGTTTGTCTGTATAGATTTCAATTCACAACAATACACAACAAAGTTGACTCAGGGCATTGAACAGAAACATTCACATACATAGAAAAGCCAATTAGTAAAATTCTTTATCTAAGGAAGCCAGCAGACTCATTGAATCTTCACTTTGTCAAAGTCTCCCATCCTGAGCAAGCACCATGGCAACAGTGGAAAGGAAAAACTCCCTTTTAACAGGAAGAAACCTCCAGCAGATCCAGACTCAGGATAAGCGGCCATCTGCTTTGACCGGCTGGCTTTCCTGTCCCCTCTTTCCCCAGTTGAGGCAGATGGCTGCCCATCCAGAGCCCAGTTCTGCTGGACGTTTCTTCCTGTTAAAAGAGAGTTTTTCCTTTCCACTGTGACCTGTGTGCTAGCTCAGGATGGGAGGTTGCAACAAAGTCAAGGTTTGATGCAATCTGGATGGATTATGAGAATGTTTTATTGATGGTTTATTGAGTCTCTTTTAACTTTCACCTTCATCTGTTGGTTTGGATTGTTATCATGCAAAAACAGGAACAAACTCTCGGGGATTGTCAAGATGTGCAGTAAAACTGCTGGCAAAGCCCTACAAAACCTCACTGACCTAGACAAGGCGAGGCCAGAGAACAAGGCCAGGCTGATTCTGGCAGATCCTGATCACCCACTCCATGGTGAGTTCAGGTTGCTTCCATCTGGATGCAGGTATCTGCTGCTCAGATGTAGAACAGACAGACTGAAAAAACTCATTTATCCCTGTAGTGATCAGGTTTCTCAATGAACATTGATGACTTCCATATTGTTATTTTAATGTCTTAATGTTTTGTGTACTATGGATGTTTTACATCTACTGACTGTGAAACTAATTGCCTCTCGGGGATAATAAAGATACTTGAACTTGAACTTGTACTAACTTTCATAAATTGTCATTGGTAACTGTTGTGAATTTGTGCAATATAAATAAGCTGAATTGAATTGAACTACACTGTCTAATTATATATGGATTAATCAAGGGGTGCTGCAGCACCCTCAGCATCCTTGCTTCTTACCTTGTATGCTGTTAGTTGCTCGATAGTCACAATATTGTAAACAGTCAAGTATCGAACAGTACCTCTGAAAGTGTTGTATCCAGCTGAAAGATCTGTCCTTCTCCTTCGACCTGGCGCACACAGATCTTACAGCTCAGGTCCACCGTGCTGGCAGCGAAGCGCTCCAGACTAAAGCAGCAGTGGAGGTTCCTCTGCGACCCGCTCCACACTTGCTGAAAGGAGAGCTCCTGCAGGAGAACAAATGCGTGACTCAAAGTGCTGCTGTAGCTGTTGGGCGGTGTTCTGACAGCGTGCACGACTGCTTCACCTGGTACTTGGCTAGTAGTTTGCTCTTCCACAACGTGTGGGGCACATCATGGATGGAAAGTCTCAGGTTGTGGGTGCTGTCTTTAAAGTTAAGGGTCTTTGGTTCATCCAACAGTTTCCCACCCATCTGCTTCTCCATCTGCAGAACTTCCTGAATACACAAACATGCCTTTTTATCAGCACACGGACCTCAAAACGTTCCATCTTGTGCTGTTTTGCAAGGGTAGTTTGTCCGCCTGCCAATCTGAAACCAAATTTAATGTCCTTACTGCAGGATCACTATCACTTCTCATTATCCATTTCCAAATTTAATAACTGAGTTCAATATCCCCCCTCGGTACAATAATTCCTCCTTATCTTTCCTTCACATAGGTGCGTCCGTGTATTACATAGGATTGAAGGGATGAGACAACAGCAGAGAGGGGAATACATGTGGCTTATTGCATTGGAGCAGCAGCTATGCGTTTCAGGGAGTGGCACCGTTCCCTTATTGTGACACACTTAGCTGCTGGCTCACAAACAGCACAGTTAAAATGAAAAGAATATTTACAAACCGTTTAATTTATCTGGAATAACCTTGAGCAAACATGGAGAGAGATGCAACCTGCGTACCTTGAGTGCGTCCTGCGTGTCGTCCAGGCAGTAGACTCTGATGTGATACTCCATGGCAGAGCAGGTGACGGGACCGAAGATGGCCAGCTTGAGGCGCTTGATGGTGGAGGCGCTGAGGGACTGGCCCACGAGACAGTACGTACCCAGGGTCTCCGTCAGGACGTGGCAGGCCTCCTCGTCCATTTGGATGTAACATGGCGTGGTGAAGTTTTCCTCCCCTACCACCACCACATCCTACAGGAAACAATGAGGGGAAATATTTGCTTTAATTTATTTTAAGGCACTTATTGCATTATAAAGAATTATTTTGGGTCAACAAAGACCAGATTAGAATTTTTTCATCATGAAAGATCATTTGAAAGGCAAAAAGCTTCAAGTCAGACATTTGTACATGTGTTGAACTCAAACGTGGTGTGGTAGTAGCTGAAACTAGTTCCCACTAAATACTCTAAGCACTAACAGATCACTCGGGGTCTTTGTCTAAATGTCTAACCTTAACTACCGTATTTTTGGGACTTTAAGGTGCACCAGATTATAAGGTGCATTAAGCGAAACAAAACAGTCAGATAAGTCATACTTTATTCAACTCATTCACAATAACCACATAAAATCGGTTCGAGGTCAGTAAGCACAACCAGAATTAATACATGAGGCGCACTTGATTATAAGGCTCACTGTCGATTTTAGAGAAAATTAAAAGGATTTTAAGCGCGTCTTATAGTCCAAAAAATATGGTACTGGGATCAGTTCAGTCTGTTAGAGAGTTTGTGTTTTATTTCATCTGTGTGGAACAGTTTGGTTGATATTTATGGGAACTGTGACTACCTGAACGATTACACTTAGATTAATCACAGCATATAAGTTAAAGCATTTCAAGTAGAATTAAATAATTATTTTCAGTGAAATACTTGAATGAAAATTTTAAATAAAATCCAAGACCTTATAGTAAGGAGCTGTCTAGCTTTAGAAAATAAAAACAATATATACTATATTTATTCCTAACGCAGTAGGAGGCTGTAAAAACACAACAAAACATGTTCAGCTTTATTTCCCTCAGTTTAACTTGAGATTTCAATCCGACGCGTGGCAGAAAATTATAAATGTCAGACAAGATAGACCAAGAGAACAGTCAGAAAGAAACCGGCTGTTTGGCTGCTAAAATCGCCTAATCCCACATCTGCATCATAAAAAAAATAAAAAAAAGTTTATGCACAAGACTTTACTGTAAATCTACACCTGCACAATGTGACCTTCGTGGAAATATCAATAGGAGACTAACAGAGTAGATCCTCAAAAATAAATTCTGCTTCAAAGTTCTACAAATGAGCGCCAAAGCATGCAGGAAGCACCTGCTGTAGACTAATGAGTTTAAAATATAACCCCCCCCCCCACACACACACACACACACACAAATTCGTTAAACAAAGGTTGATTTGGCAAGAAGGAAAAAAAACAGTTAAATGCAGGGTGTGTGGATCATGCATGCACTGTGAGTGTTTCACTGGTAGAAGCAAAAAAAAAAATTCACTTACAGAAAATACAACCAGTGCACACCAACAAACTCCAACAAACAAACAGAATAATAAAAATGAAAGAAAAACTGCTGCTGCAATAAGATGATGGTATAAAATGTACCTAAAAAGAGTTCAAAATTATGAAATTGGATGAAACTTGTCTTTCACTTATCATTGAGTCGTCTCTCAGTTAACTGATGGATAAGAAAAGGACGTTAGACCTTTAGGTTGAGTGTGAGCGTGTTAAAAACTTAATATAAGTATCTGATTAAAAGTTCATTTGTAAGAATATTCAATCGTTTGACATAACTGAATTAATTGAAGTTCCACTTAATCATTTTATTTGGTCAAAGTTGTGTCCTTTTGAAACATTAATGTTCATATTTTACCAGTATGACACTGAGCCGTTATAAATACCACATTAGTGGAGAAAATAGTGTTCAGACCATTTGCAGTTGACTTCTGCAGCAGCGCTAACATCTGGACGTATTCCTCTTTCATTAAGGCTGTCTGCTCCGAGGAGATATATGCTACCCTCTTTTTGTCTTTTATTAGGGCATCTATTTTTTCTCCAACTTACCTAATTTTAAGTTTAGTCACTCTGTTATCCTTTCTCCTGTCCAAACACTCCTGCGAGCAGCACACTGGTACAATTCATCCCGTTGTGATAGACAGAAGAAGAATCAATGTTTTTTGTGGAGCTATCACCCTTTAACAGCGTCTAATGGTAGATCATTAGACTCTTTACCTCGTCCTGTGGGATGGCATCATGGCTCCTTATTTTTCCATTTGTTCAACCTTTATTTATACAGGCTAGTCCCATTGAGCCTCGGGGACTCATTTACAAGAGAGACCTGAATTTGGGGATTATCTGATCCCACAGTGGAAAGGTAGGCTTCTGTTTTTTATGTACAGTTTGTTCATAAAAATATTATAGATTCACATGAATCTCCTTATATAATCTACTGTTCTAATCAACATCACACATATGAACTGTTTAAACAACAACAACAATAAAAAGAGGTAATTTGGAATAAAACTGGGACAGGACCTTGTTTACAACTGTGAAGCATTTTTTAATGTGTTGCTAACTCAAAACTACATTTACTGACCAAAAATGATGCTTATTTAATTTAAACATTTGACTTAATAAAAAAATTGATTTGATAAAAATGATGCAGAAAAAACTGGTTCATGCATTTGTCATGTCTAGACTGGAATATTGCAATGGTTTGTTATCTGGGTGTCCAAATGCTTCTTTAAAACGTCTTCAGTTGATCCAAAATGCTGCTGCCAGAGTCTTAACTGGAGTTAGTGGGAGACATCATCTCTCTCCAGTTTTAGTTTCTCTCCATTGGCTCCCTGTCAAATTCAGAGATGAATTCCAAATCTTACCACTAACCTACAAAGCTCTCAAAAACCTAGCTCCATCTTATATTACAGATCTTATTGTTCCATATTTTCCTAACAGAGCACTTCGCTCTCAAACTGCAGGTTTACTTGTGGTTCCTAGAGATTCCAAAAGCAGAATGGGAGGAACATCTTTCAGTTATCAGGCTCCTCTCTTGTGGAACCAACTTCCAGTTTCTGTCCGTGAGGCTGACACATTGTCCAGTTTTAAAACTGGAATTAAGACTTTCCTTTTTGCTAAATCCGATAGTTAGAGTTAGCTTGGGTCTCCTGAGCTGTCCCTTAGTTATGCTGCTAAAGGCTTAGACTGCTGGAGGACACCCTGACACTTTTTCACTCTGCTACTGTCTTTACTTACTCTGCTCAACCTGTTTTGTATTTGTAAGTATTTTTCTATCCTTAACATGTTTATTTTTTGTCTTTCAGATACACCTGGACCTTTATCTAGACCTACCAGTCTGTGTTCATCTGTCTCTCCTTCCTGTCCTTTCAAACCAGCCGGTCAAAGCAGATGGCCGCTTGTCCTGAGCCTGGTTCTGCTGGAGGTTTCTTCCTTTTAAAAGGGAGTTTTTCCTTTCCACTGTGGCCACTGTGCTTGCTCAGGATGGGAGACTGTGACGAAGTGAAGATTCGAATCTGTTGCTTCCTTAGATAAAGAGCTTTACTAATTGACTTTTATATGTATGTGAATGTTCCTGTAAAGTGCCCTGAGACAATTTTGTTGTGATTTAGTGCTATATAAATAAACTGAATTGAATTTGACTATGATGTGCCGCTGTGAATAATTCATTGTTTAAATTTTTGATTGTTATAGTGTTTTATAATTGCAGTTCTATTTTCCTTATTGTTTGTTCAAGTTAGTCTTGAATGTTTTTATTATCTGAGCAGCAGAGCCCTTTTAAACCATGCAAAATGTATTATAATGTAGACAAATAGAAAAAACCTTGAATTAAAAAATAGTTTTATGAAATTGGCAAATCCTTGCATTTTGGTTGTAATTTACACAACATCCCAACTTCCTGGAATTAGGATTGTATTTAATTAAATATCTGTTTTACCTCTTTGATGAGGCTCATTCCTCCTGCTTCCATTAAAAAGATGAATACGCATTTTGATAGAGCAAGTCATAAAGCAGTTTTTCATCTCTGCAGGACAATGATTTACCTCAGCGGGGTGAGGAGAAGCTCCAATAAAAGAAGCTGAAGCCCACATTTACCGTCTGCAACTCCAACAGGTCAAAGATTTTAATCAATAGTTATTTCTTCTTTAAAAATCTCAGCTTACACTGAGCTTTATTGGATATCCTGAAAGTAATTTATCAAAGTCACCAAAGCATCTGGGGCCAGTTCTTCCCTTTCTTCATTAGTCTTTCTGAAAATACCGGTATTCAAGACACAATTTAATAAAACGTTGACAGAGAGAGCTTCAAATTGGAGCCAGGATGAAGCTAAGCAAATGGATTTACCTCTGCCGAGTTGATTTTGATTGTATCAGTTTAAGCAATAAGCTGTTTAAGAAATAAAACCAGCATTATTTTAGCTTAATGCGTTTCTTTCAGTTTGCTGCACTGCTGCTGCATAAACACTCCCATTAAATGTATATTCTTGCACATTTTGCCTTTTATTTCAAGGCCTCACTTGTGAGAGTTCATTGGATGCATACATTTGCTTCTAAAAAGGTAGAAAAACATTTTATTAAATGATTTTTTCCTATTCTGTGGTATGCAGCTATTGCATGATTTGGCTATAAAAGATGAAACCATTTATAAAACATTCAATATTTGGATAACTGCTGTTTAGGGACACAAGGAGCCTGCAAGCACTGCAGACATGCACATTGACACACAACGCAAAAGTGTATCTTCATAAAGACGGAAGGAAACTGTCTGGGTAAAAAGCAGAGATCAGAAGTGAGATCAGAGGTTTACTGTTTCAGTTCTTGATTAAAGCAAAGAGTTTCCTTGAAAACTTTAAAAGGAAGCTAAGGAAGTCGTTTCCTTACACCTCTTTTATTTGATCTTCAGTCCAGACTCGTATCATCTTTCTCCTTTGTGCTTTACTCAACACTGAGTAAAACTTCCAACCAACCAGATTCATATACTTATTCTACAGAAAAACATTCCATCTGTGGAACTTTGTTTTTGTTTTTTTTTGCTTGTAAAGAAATCATTTTAATGCCTTATGCGGCTGATAAAAAAATCTCACCTCCCACTGGTTGTGCTGCGACTGGCTCTTGAGCTGGATCAGCCAGTCCTGCTGGCCGTCACACACGGCACAGTGGTGCATGGTGATGATGACGGGTCGCGTCAGCAGGGTCCCAGGGGGCCCACAGCTCACCACAGGGCTCAGCACAGTCTGGCCATCCTCTACAGAAGGCCTGAAGGAGCATAAGGGAAAAATAAACGCATGCACATGGTGTTTCTGTATGTGTATGACACATGGCAGAGAGGACAGGCGGGTGTAAACTCAGCTATGGGTACCATATTTTTCGCTGTGTAAGTTGCAACTTTTGCATAACTGTGCAAGTCCTGTGACTTATACACCGAAGCGACTAATATACGACAATTTCATTGATTCTGACATGGAAAATATTGAACACTACCATTTTCAGCTGCTAGAGGGCCCTTGACTAATATGGCAAGCCAAGTGTCTCATTAATAGGTAAAAGTGGCTATTAATGAGACACTTGGCTTGCCATACCAAGACACCTTCGTCTCGCTTCGGAATTCCTGGAGCAAATGTCAAATCAGCTGCATTTCACCGTGCTGCCCAGGTCAAATGCAGCTGATTTGACCGTTAAAGTGCATTTATTAAGGCAAAGTTAAACTGACACACCTTTGCTATAATTTTGAGCAAACAAATAATTGTTTTTAAGTGATTATCTTGTTAAATTTTGACGAAACACACGGCAAGTCCTCCCTCTATGCGCTCCAGCAAATTCATTTTTGAAATGCAGTTGATTTGACCATTAAAGTGCATTGATTGAGGAAAAGTTCAACTGAGACACACCTTTGCTATAATTTCGAGCAAACAAATAATTGTTTTTAAGTGTTAATCTTGTTAAATTCTTGTTAAAGTTCTCCCGTGCACGCCGTTTGCCAGCCAATCGATTTTTGGCCCGTGTTCCCGGGTGGTCAGCGGTGACGCATAATAGATGTGATGTATACGGCGAAGCGACTAATTTATGTTTTTTCCACTTTATTAGACATATTTGGACTGATGCAACTTATACGGCAGTGTGACGTGTACTGCAGCAAGTACGACAGTTAATGTGGCCAAGCAGCATTTAGTACTACCTCAAGTTGTCCTTCCTCTGGACGGTCACATACATCTCATAGACTCTGCCTTGAGGAATGGCTCCTGCTGGAATCAGCAGACTGACCCCTGAGGAGCACAGAAACAGACAAAAACACAAATGAACACTGGAGCGGAGTTACCCGAAACAACAAAAATACTTGTTTTAATTAAAAGCCAATACTAGGAATTGATTTTAATTTGTGTACCATCCAATCTTTATCTAACTTGGAGCTCTAACTGTAACGGCCTTGAGTTCGACACAAGTTAGCGCTTTTCACTTCTCTCCTGTGGCATTTTTAATTTCTTAGAATCGATGATTTCCACTCTCATAGCATTCCTGTACAGCAGCGGTCAACGTGACTTACATTTTTCCATCTCGGATTGATTTGAAATGATGTCCCTCTGATGTTTTTTTTATTTTTTTAAATAAACATATACCTCAAATTCCCTCATGCATACACAGAATCACAGCTTCTCCTTCTTAGGAGAGATTTTTCTAAGATAGCTCATTGATTTTCCATGTCCTTTTACTGTTTTTACAAAGAAAGGTGACAGACTAGCTAGTATAGAAAACAACTTTGCCAAGGCGAACATCTCCCAAGGTGCTACTCTGCCTCTAAGCAAAACCTATCAAAAAAAGGTTCTGATTTTAAGATGTAAAACACTAACCAGCTTCACAGACAGTGCCAGAAAGAATATCATTACCCAGACACACAAACGTATCAAAAGTCCAATGTGTTTTCCAACCTCTCAGCCGGCGTAACGTGATGAGGTGGCTGAGTACAACTAGCAGCTGAGGACATTTTACCGGTATCATAAAGAAAAAATGGGGGGGAAAAAATACAACTTGAGAAATGTGAGAAGTCTGTGCATCCCTGAATGTCACCGCTCGTTTGTCTATGCCTGTCAGCATGCATCTGTGGTGTGATCCTTACAGCCTGCGTGTGTTTGAAGTGAAGACAGCATGGCTAATGTAAGCCGCTTGAAACTAGAACACCTCGACTTCAGCGCTTCTGGTGCAGGCACCTCAGATATCCATCAGCTCTTGTCATAGTGAGCAGTCGGCTCACTGATAAGTTGCATATGGCTACGCAGATCACTTCAAAGTCCCATCTGTTGGTGTGTTTTTGGTGGAGATTGTAAAGTTTAGCAGGCAGTAAAGGTAAGTAGAGCACAAACACCGTACCTTTTGAATTCAACACAGACCGTTGAAGTATTTACAGGAAAAAAACTGAAACTGATGTGTGGCGAAATGTAACAAAAACTATGATACATTTTAAAGACGCTGCAAATGTTTGAGACCTAAAATCTCAAAAGTTATTTGTAATAATGTTCTTATGCCAGCTTTAAAAATCTTTGGATTTTTGTTTCAGATAATTTTGTATTATTTTATTTATTTTTAGTTGATATGTGCTGCTGATTATCCATGCTGCTGATCTCATGCTGCTGATTATTTCATGCTGCTGTATTCATTCATACTCATCTACTCATAGAGACTCATGTTCGTGCTGCTGTTGCTCAGTGTATTGTTTTGCACTATTCGTGTTCAGCGTATTTCTTTGTTTATATCTTAAAAGACTTATTTACAGTTTATTTTTACAATTTACATTTTTGCTATAGTTGGATGTAACTGGGACCCTGTGTACACAACTTTGTTCCACCTCATGTACCGCATGTGATGAGAATGACAATAAAACATACCTGAACTTGAACGATTTGTCAAAATCCACCCAGTTTGCCTGTCAGTAAAATATCTTATGAGCCATGAGACAGATTTTAATGACGACGTGCTTTTGTCAATTTTACAAATATTTGAAATAAAATTGGTTTAGTAGAAGTTGAAAGATATCACCATCACATACTCTAACCACGAACAGATTATCGTTTAAAACTTTGGTGGGGGACGTGCATTTCTTCAAGGATCACTGTTTTAGCCATATTAGCATCAACTAAGGCATGTTTTGGTTTAGATCATAATATTAGGGATGCACAATATTATCGGTATCGGACAATATTTGCGATAAAGTTAAATATCAGACATATATATATATACATACATATATATATATATATATTTAATATATATATATATTTATATATATATATATATTTTATATATATATATATATATATATATATGTAAGGTGATGTTTTTGTATGAGTGACGAGGTTGCCTGCACATTGCAGAATTCATAGAGATTTAAGTTGATCATTAAGATTTTATAACAAAGTATTGGGCTTCTGTTTTAAGTTAATTTTTAATTTAAGAAATTGTCAAGTACAAAGTATATTAATACACTACTACTTATGCACTTTTCACTTGTTGCATGTGAACAGGTTGAGTTTAGATTTGTGAAAATTCACAAATTGACACTGTCTGAGTGTTGTCATTGTGTTAGAGAGTAAATGTCATGAATAAATTTGACATTAAAAATAATCCAAGTTGAAGTATTACATCATTTTCAGCCTCCTTTTTAACATCTGCATTTGGTAACAGGCCAACTTGACAAAGACCATGCAGAATAACGTAGTATTTTAAATCTACAGCAGAGAAAGCTACTTTGTATTTAGTCTATATAAGTAGGTCTAGGAAAAAAAAAAAAATAAATTGGTATTGGTATTGGTTATCAGCCAAATAAGTTTTAACATATTGGCATATCAGCCAAAAATCCAATATCGTGCATCCCTAATTAATATTATGGATAATGTTGCTGCACCTGAGTTGGGCACGATGAGGTGGCCCCCCTGGGAGCTGAAGGAGCCGAGAGCGGTGCAGGAGGGGTCCCTCGTGCGAAGCAGCGTCTGCGTCTGACGGCCCATCGTGCCGTTGCTGTTGTCCAGGAGGCAGTGCGGCAGCTTGGGCGACAGCTTTGAGGAAAGTTCTCCTCCCAGGTCGTCCTGCGGCGTCACCAAGCCTGAGGAGTTGTACACCTTAATCTTCAAGTTGGGAAGGGGGTCCAGCAGGGGGGAGTTGGTCATGGGGATTTTGTCGGCCACATCATGGAGGGCGTAAACTGGGCCGCGGTACATGGCAGCTGCTGAGGTCAAATCAGGGGGTGATGTGAGAAGATCAGCTGAAAAATAAACAAAAAACGTTTTTATAGCCAAAAAAATATATGAAGTCCAATTATAAGGACTCAACCTGCAATAAAAAAATAATGATCAGCTTTACATATTTGTTTTACACTCGTTAAAGGAGTCCACGTCAGGAGCAGCAAACTCAGCTCAGATAAATCAGAGGGGCAGCTGTGATTTATTTGGGACAAATGACATCACTAAGATTGATTTCATCTGTGTAGGTTACAGTGATGAATGTTTTATAATGGAATGTGGGCAGTACTGTCTGAAGGTAAGTCTCCAATGTCTCCACCCCATTCAGGGTTTTCTAAATAACACAAAAGTTGCTCAAACATCTAATTAATGGGAGTTTATCCACAGTACTGGCCATTGTTAAGTGTTTGTAAGAACACAGAAGGTGACGGACGCACTTTTTCCAAGTTGAAACAAGAACAAAATATTTTTTGTACAAGTTTGAGTTACAGGGAAACAGCATGGTCCGGTTTGTTGAGCTGAACTTTGAGCTCTTCTGATGAGGACACAGGAATTTTATCTTCTATCCAATGATCTGCACCTTCTACAAAACACTGATGATCTTTGAACAAACTGTTAGACACACCAGCTTTAACTGGAGGAGACCAGAGGCTGATTGATTCTGTCTACAAGCAGCTGTGTTCAGAGGTTCTTTATGGGGGTTTCAACATGTGGACGTGGCAAGGACAGCCTTCAGAACTCACCAACCGGACCCAGAACATGGACTGGATTTAAAACTTGGGGCAAACTCTCTTCAACATGGTCAGCCCTCTTTTTTAATTGCTATTTGTGTTTATAATACCATAACATGATTTAATCAAGATTCTGAGTCAATCAAACTCAAAAGTATGACAAGACTTTGATTTGGGATTTCTTTAATTAGATAACCAACAAATCTTACTTTAAATACATTTAGTTGCAATTTACACGTTTATGTACATCATCGAATGAGTTGTGGATAAATAATTCCAGTAAACTTTAATGGCAAAAAGATGCTTAAATTGATTAATCATGAATAAGACATTCAAATACCAAAATATGAACTGGTGATGTGTTCAAACATTACATGAGATGAGACAATGGGAAAGTTTTCCAGTTACTTATTTGAGATTTTAGGTTCTTAAATGAACAAAAACCGTACAAGTAACAAGCATAAACTGAGTTAAGGTTAATTACTGATGTTATTATCATTACTAGCAGCAAGTTTAGTCGATTTATTTAATTCACAGCTTTTAAAAAAGCTTTTAATGTATATACATCACCATATTATAAACATATAAAACAACAATTACTCAATACATAGCAAAAATGAGGAAAATACAGGAACATGCATTAATTCAAGTAATAATTTAAACAAATAGGAAAATGGTGTACCATAAAGGCTGGTACTGTGACAACATATAAAGTGGTGAGTTTGAATACACGACAAACTCAGAAGAAAATAGTTTCACAGCCGAGGGACTCAGACACTAAAAGGCCCGGTCATTTTTTAGTGACAGCTTGAGCTTTTAGAAGGGCTTTTGTCGCGGATCTCAAGCTGCGATAAAGCTCGTTGGGGGTTAGGAGATTGCAGATATTGGCAGGAGACAGAACACTCGAGTTTTAAAAGACGAGCAGTAAAATCCTAAAGTCAATTCTGAAACCCAGCCAGGAACAGACAGTAAAGACTGATGCAATGCGTTTGAAAGGACATTTTGAAGCAAAGACAAAACAAATACATTAAGATATGCAATTTTAAATGTTGAAATGTGTCGCATTAGATAACTTCTCTGTATTCTTTGCTTTTGCAAAATAAACTAAGGATAATTTATGTAAACAAAAAGCATGCCGATTGTAAAAAATGTTTATTAGGATGATGCTTTACATTTCTGTCCTTGCTGTCCTTCCCATTTATGTTATTTTTATAGTTTGCACTCGTCCCCCTCTTAAAACATCATATTAAAATTTACAACGCATTTCTCTTGATTAATCTATTATTGTTGCCTTTTCGTCCCCGTGCTTCTACTTTCAAGTCGAGCATCACACGCTCAGACCTAATTCTACGGAGCGTTATGCAACATGGAGACTGGCCTGATTATGCCTTTATGATCAGCATTTGAACTCCCTTACATAAACATGCTGCCTGCTGCTCTCTCACGAGCTTCACACTCATCTACAGTCAAAAGAGCACATTTACATTCATATCATCCGCAACACGTTCGCTGTCAGAGCAGCTGAGTCAAGCACACCTCAACAGGTGATTGTTATGGGCTGTTAATGTAAGCAACTCCAAATGTCTCGCAAGACATTCGGACTTATTCATATAGAAATAATGGGTTATTCTGTTTTGCTTACATAAATGTTTATTGATTTTATTCATAACTTTAACATAACAGGAAGCTGAAAATCTTTCAGCTGTGTGAGCTATTCAATGAGTTCTGGTGTCTCCTTGTTGTTACTGAAGTGTGCAAGAAAGAGCGTTCGCCTAGCCCTCGAATAAATTCAAGGAATTTTAACTAACTAAACAATTTAACTGTTGGCGAAACCATTTACAAGCGGCAACTTGTAGATATAAATATCATGTTGGTTTGTCATGGCTGGCTACTCCCAAAAATTCAGCCCATCACTTAGAAAATTAACAAAAATCTGAAATCTTCGTGAACCTCAAACTCCATCAGATGGTCTGCAGGTGGATTTTGCAGCATTTGGTGTCAAAGTACATGAGTTCAGTAAAACGTCTTAGGTTTGACTTGCTTTGAAGACATGATTAAGGTGATACCTCACTGGGCGTGGCTTTCCTTCAACCTCATTCACCAGGCAGCCTCCTGAATGTCTCGTGGCGTTCTCCAAAAACCTTCTTAATTTTGTCAAATTTGTCTCCAACTCATTTTAGTATTGTGAGAGCTGTAGTTTTACACCTGCACAGAAGATCTCCTCTGGCCCAAAACCAGGGTTTAAAAACCAGCGGCTAACAAGTACAAAGTGGGCCGAGGTGGCCAATAAAATAATGTGCACAGTCTAGAATACCTCACATTTCATGCTCATTAATCCAGGAAAATTCCTAAAAGTTCAGTCAGCTCATCTGGATGGTTTCTTCTTTTGTTGAGATGTTTCGTCTTTCATCCAAAGGGCTTCATCAGTCAGAAGAGTCACAACAAACTCAGTCCCACAAGCAGCACACTCGCATAGTGGGCCAACCAGTTTGCTGGAGATAAGATTGTTTCTGGAGCCTGCCCTCTTCCCCGTCAGCTCCTCTGAGGCAGCCATAGCCAAAGTGGTTCAAAACAGCCAAAGTGGTTTGAAATATCTGTCTAGAAAACCCTTTTACAAGCACTGCACACAAAAATAAATCAAGATAAAACACAGTTGCATGGCTAAATAGTCACTTGGTGGCAATCACTGAACAAGTAGTGAGATTACAACAGAAAAATTACCAGCACATTTTTTCCTCAAAACTGAGTCGAGTTGGAGTTACCAACTAGTCTTCAGCATTTTCAGCTAGAGCTGCATTACGGCCCAAAAAATCTGACCGACCCAGCCCCAGCCCGTAGCCATCATTTCCGAACCCCACCTGACCCGACAAATTAACAGTACTTACAGGTCCGAACCCGAAAAACCCCATTTTTAATTAAGTGTTGATTGCTTATATAGTTATTCACGGTCAGCAGACGTGCACGGCTGAGTAAAAGGGGGCAGAAGATCAGAGCTGAGGGGGTGTTTGTCCTTTCATGGCTGTTAAAGAGCATTAAATCCCTGCTTCTGCCTGCATTCTGCATTCTTCAGACACGGACCCTGCTTTGACATGTTAGATATTTTGGGATCTCACATGTTTGAGTGCAGCATGGATCACTGCCTGGCTTTAGTCCATCTGAAGCTTAACTGAACTTTTTACCTCTTTCAAGGCTGGTCAGTGTGCGGTCAAACAGTCGCGTGCAGCTGGTGATAGTATGGCAAGCCATGTTGTCATATAATTGGATCGTCAGCCAAGCGTGTCTGCTGATGCAATTAAAAGCTCAACACCGGCCCAGCCCACACATTAAGCACATTATTATGGCCCGGCCCAGCCCTAATCTGGGTCGGTCCAGGCCAGGTTCTGGGTTCGGGTTAGAAATGACAGCTCTGTTTTCAGCCCAGTTTGATGCTACCTTCACTTTGCTCAAATTACATTCAGGGAGAGGTGAAATCATTTTGAACAATGTGCTCAGCAGAAGAAAATCGAAAACAGAATTGTTTTCTACACATGACATTTGGTGAACAAATCCTTTATTGTGACAAATGTCACAGACCAAAAACATGCATGTTAGGCTGCCTTCAGGCGCAGGCCTCCCTTGTAAAAGAGATCTGTGATCTCAGTGGGATTTGCCTGGTTAAATAAAGGTTAATAACTGTTAAACCATTTGCAAAGCATGGTGGTGAACATGTTATGGAATGGTTTGGCATTATTTCACAGACATCAGCCAATAAAATAAAAATTCTGAGTCATATCAAGAAGTGCTTCAGGATAATATATGTCACTTGCTTGGAAACTAACAACTTGAACTTTTTTGACTGCAAGCTCACCATTCTGAAACAGCTACTTCTGTCCAAAAGCTGAAAGTTAACTAGAGGCAGACTTTTCTACTAAGAAATGACTGACAGCACACCAGAAAATTCACCAAGATGGCAATGGCTTAGGAGAAAGAATGGAGCTTTGTGGGATGTAAAAGTCAAAGTGTATTTCAGTGGAAAATGTTAAATACATCACTGTGTCTAAAGGTCTTTTTACCCGAACCCAGAACCTAGCCTGGCCTGACCATTTAACACAAGAATTTTACAGATTATTCACAAATAATAAATAATACTAATTTCATTTGTAGTTCTTAAGTATTCATCCATTTGCATGTAATGAGCTGAATAGTTATATTTTCTTGTCTAAATGTGTAAAATGTCCAAAAATTTGCATAGAATGTACTTGTGTTTAATGACTGCAGAGAAACACACTCCCTCACAGATCAACAACTCCCTCCTTGAACCCACCTTTGCGGGCGGTCTTGATGCTGACGGGTTGGAAGCCTCCGTTGAGGGCAGAGGAGTCGATGATGTCGGAGCTGAACTCCCGGTGGTTCTTCCTGTAGACGAAGAGCGCCACGACGACGGAGATAACCAGGCACATGATCACGGCTATGACAATACCCACATAGAGAGCGACGTCGTCTGTGCTGGGGGCCACTGGAGGAGGGGTCAGGAAGGGGACAAAACAGAAAGAGAGGACAGTTGTGCCTTGGTGGATCTCATAAGTTTGCATCAATAAGATTGGGCTTTCTCTTTCATTATGCAGGAGTTGTGATGAAGACATTATCAGCAGACTAATATCCTGCTTTATGACAGAGCAGGATATTAACAACCACCATGCAGGGAAATAAATGCACAGTTTGCATTTTACACAAATGCATATTTGCATTTTTTCTTTACTTTAAATGAACAATCCTAATTGTCTTAAATGAAGAGACATAATGATGCATGTAATGCAGGGTACCTCACAACATCAGGTTTGTTTCATCTCTCATATGTGCAAACTAACGTTTCATTCTAAAATACAACAAAAGCAGCACAAAAAACTCAAAGTGAGAACAAACTTCTCTTGAGAGCCATTATTTATGTCTTGGTGGCCAAAACCAAGAACGAAGCCACGCTGCTCTTGTTATTGGAGACGAAGTTGTAAACAGGGCCATGTAAATAAGATAATTAAGAAGAAATGAAAGATAATGACGATAACGTCTGAAGAAACAATTCAATTATTAAACGCGGCTGCTTCGAGACATGCCGATCTCTGCTCAGAAGCGAGATCAAAAGTTTTGCAGACATATATGCAGGGGGATTTCATCTCCAAATTACCGTGCTCATGCTGGAGTTCAGAGTCTGTCTCTGACTTTGTTCTTACACGCTGCAGATAAGATCTAGACATAGCTTGGATTTCTCGAATTGTCTTTCATCTCCGTCTGCCTCCCAGAGTCTCTCTGTCCACTTTCCAGCTGGAGAAACCTCTGTGATTAGCCAGCTTGGCGTGGATGAATATACGAGACCTGCTGGAGGCACGGACAGGCGATTTTACAGACCGGGCCTCCCCTTGGCCGCTGACTGACAGCCAGAATGCTGCAGCATTTGGTGAAGAATGTCCTTAAGTGTCACAGGTTGACAAATGGGAAAGAAAAAACCCTTCTTTAGAAGTAATGAAATGCTGGAGGGCTTGTGGGAGCATGTGTCTGCACAATGTTCAACACAGCTTGGTGGACTGTACACGTCCAGAGCTTGTTCAAAAAGTCAAAGACCAAAGCATGCAAATGTAGGGGAGAACAAAGGCATTTTAATAAGGAATGTTTTTTTTTAAGGAGAGGTTATGTAAAATGCACCAAATCTGCAGCAGATGGCAGTGTCACCCATAAATCTAAAAGCAGCTCTTTGAAGACGCATGACAGCTGAAGGTTTGCACAAAGTAGCACTATGCCACTCAGGGACGCAGATGAGACTCATGTGTCTCTTGGGATTTCTTACATAAAGAAGAATCAAGCAGAAAAAAGTGTGAGCAGAATGCATGTGAAATAACCTTTGCAATCACATATTTTGCTCTCCAGGATTGCATTTTTCTACTTTGAACCTAATGTTTATTAATGAAAGGCAGAACAGATTTTAATGAAACTCTCAAAGTAATCACTGGATGTATACCTGCAACTATTAAATGTTTGGCGTTAACCCAATTCAAGATGGCTGCCACAGCTAATTAGTCCGCAAACAGAATTGGCTACAAGTCAGTCAGTTTTACAAATATTGAGCTAAAAATTGACGTGGTAGTATTAAGGAGTCGTGAGCACCAACAAACCTATCCAGATCTAGCAATTCTGCACACATTTATTATCAATATTTGACCGTAACAGCTATAGTGACAACATTATCAAGTAACGTCAACAATTCTGGCATGAATAGCAGCGAGTGATATGAATTACAAGCCTTTCATTTCTAAATGTGGACTAAATTTAAATGAGAGTAGCATTTATCAAGTTAGTTTAAAACTAATTAAATGTTCTGCTATTAAAGAATACAAAGTGAATATCATTTTGACCTTCTTTCCAGTTTACCCATCATACGTGCAGTAAAGAAAACAAGTAGACAGTGCTCCAGCTGAGCTTTTAAGCTTTTCTGAATGTTTGTAATTATCAACTTTATATCTCAGTCTTTATGTTGCCCAGTCGTCTCTCCTCAGCTCTGCCAGCAACATCATATTTAAGATGCATCCTAACATCCGTTAGACCTCTAATCTCTCCTGCAGTAGTGACATAAACAGAAAACAGAGCAGGCAGCTGGTGATGAAGGTCTAAAAATGTAATTTCAATCTGCTCCCCTTGCTGAGCTCCCCTGCAGTTACTTAACATATATCCCCCCCAGTCGAACAATCTTCCATCCCCACTTTGATGATAAATGCAGCAACCTGCTAAGTGTACGCATTAAAATGTATCACTTAGATTAATACGTCCCTTTGAACATGAGCTATTGTCAGAAACCGCAAAATACAAGGAATGGAAATGAAATGGATTATTAAACACTCTATTTTCTGTGAGGACCAGGAGATTTACAGACGGAGGGAGAGACACCATGCGAGGCGATAACTCAGAAGTCTACAGCGTTGTGCAGAAATCATAAAGGAACTGTAGATCTGTAGAACAGCTATTGCATTTTTTTTTTTTTTTAATCAGAGAGGTGATGTTTGTCCTTAAGTTATTCTGCAACTTAAGGTCAAATACGCAACTCTTAAAAAACAACGAGGTTTGTGCATTTTTGGTTATTTTCCATTAGTGTACTGAGCATATAAAAGAGACCTTATCCAAGTATGTTTTGAAAATATTTCATAAAAATCTACGTGGGATTCACAATGTTTTGGTTTATCTTGAACATAATATTAGGCAGGAACTCGTGCAACGTTGTACATGCTCATAATGTGTGGTAAATGACTCTCAGCTACTACCACATCAGTCATTGTTTTGTTTGCTAACATTGAGTAGGTGTGGCAGCCATCATAAATAGAATTGACTCTTAAAGGTAATCAGATTAAAATATTTCAAGCAGTTCATGACATATTTTGCTAACAGACTTCAATAGTTGATGGCGAAATGTTACACTAAAATCTTGCGTGATTTGTTGGTGCTTGGAGCATGTGAGGACTACTCACAGCTACAATCACACCACATTTTAGCTAAATTTTAAATTTGAGTTACAGCCACGTTTGTGTTTGTTTAACTAAGATCAGCTGTGGTAGCCATCTTGAATTAGCTGGTTCCAAAAGTCAATCCGTCTTAGATCCAATGATTATATTCTGGGAGTTTTGTCAAAATCAGTTCAGAGGTTTATGAGATTTTGATAGTTTGCTAACAGACATGCACATAAATCCATAAAGAATGTATTGTATTGAGTCAAAGATATATATTTTGTGAAGCTGATTACAGTTCAAATGATCAGAAAATAAAATGTCAGAATCAGAGTGGCAAAATGTCCAAAAAATATACGTGTTGTATTCTTGTTTTATTTTGTCATTTCAAAGCCAAATCCAAATATTTAAAATTTACTGATTTTTAACAGGCTGTGAGTCCATAACCATAAATCCAGATGTTAAAAACAAAGGTTAGGAACACAAACACACACAGTGATGACAACAGAAATACGATAAAATAACTCAAATGATGAAAAACAGAACAACTCACATGAATTTCCAAAATCAATCTTGGCGTTTGCCTCAGAAGACTGCTGATACAAGGAACCTTGGGGGGGGGGGGGGGGGGGGAGAAAAAAAAGAAAGGGATGTGGATGGGGAAGAGGGCAGGGGAGGTGAAGGAAGAGGGATGATGAAAATCAAATTTCCAACAGAAAAACAAACTCAACAAATGAGACAGCTACAAACTCGTGAGTGAGAGTGATGACACGAGGAAGTTATCCTTCTTGATTTGGCCCCTCCCCTCCCTGTATCTGCGTGCGGTGTTCAGAGATGGATGAGAAAACTACGGGTGGGGGGAACACGGAGGTTCTGTAAGGGAACGTCGCGATCCATCAAGCGGGCTTAGAGCCTCGGCGGCGGCAGGATGGATGCTGGCAGGTGAGCGGAATGGAGGAGCTGATAAAGTGTGAGCTCCAGCAGAGTCAATGGAACCTCCAGCCTTGCATCTGTCACTGGAAGGTGGATGGAGAGCTAAGTGCACGAGATGAAAGTGATGATAATGTTAGGAAGGCAGAGGGAGAAGGAGGCTGAAGGATCACGATTAGAAAAATTGAAGACGTGATTTGGAGATTTAGGAACTTTTCGATGGAGGGTTTGCCATCCCAGCTGGGATTTGATGGAGCTTTGGCTGGTGGAGAGCCAGGGATGGTGCGGAAGCACACACAATATTCACTTTCCCTGGGACATTTATAAACAACTAAACAAACAATGAAATCCTTATTGGAAAGGGAGAGTGCCACAGGAAGACTAGTGGACTGACATGAAAATCGATAGCTTGATAGATGAGGCTGTTGCATGCAATCAGGCATTGGGGATGCAGGGTTGGAAGGGGGAGGTGACAGTAAGGGCCAGTCTAACTGATGGCCCTTCTGAACCCGTTCTGTTGAGTTTCTATGCATCCTGACTGTAACAGCTCGCTTCAGTGGGTGGGCTCCAAACAAAAAACTCTCAGTTCCATGCAGAGAAATATCTTTTTTGATACCGGCATCATACAACTAGGAAGGAAGTCAGGATCATGGTACAGGAAATCAATGTCTCTGCTTTAATCATTACTCCTTTGGCTTGACAGGTGTTCAATCTTTGGGAAATACTTCGGACTTTTAGCCACCGAAGCTGATATCATCACTGGTAAAAGTTCATTTCGCCTTCGAGGAATCTATGTGAATTGATATTGAAAAGCACAAGAAATTTTAATCGAGACCTTTCAACCACAGAGCAAATAACAGAAATGAAGCTTAGAGCCACGATCGTCCGCTGTTGTCTCACAGCAATAAAGCCCTCGCTGGCGCTAGCATTCTTCCTTTTCTATCTGGATCAATATGTCAAGAAAATGTCATGTCTGAGAGCAGGGTTACCAAAAGCTTGGCAAACAACATCCGAACCAAGAAAAACGGGCCACAGGGCGAGTGCAAAACAGCTCTTGTGAAGTGTGGAAACTACAAGTTAGAATTGGGAAGATCTCTCTGAACAAAGTGCAAGCTTTCTAGATCAATTTAAAGATATTTAACTTGGTTAAATCCAACATTTAAAGCGCCCTGACAGCCTAAATGCAATAAACAAGCAACAAAGTAAATTATAACAACTCTTTTTTTTTTCTTCCCCCTTTTTGACTCGAGTCAGTTGTGTTTCTATGTGAAGAGCTACGAATGCTATAGCTCTATTTCGAGCTGCGGTTGTATCGAATGTCTTCGGCAGAGTTCAGTGATGGATCGCAATTATTTAAATAAATTCAAACAACAGAAAATAAGATCAAGCTGCAATGGAATCCACAGACACGTGTTTGCTCAGATTCCAGGCCTGCACTGCAGGGAGCACATCAGCAGTCCAAGGTGAGTTCGGATTGCACACAACTCCCATTCTCAATCATATTTGCCATAACATGAGCTTTTAGATAATGGGGCCATTCTCCTAAATGCTCATGGAAATGGTCATTAGCGTTGACATAAGTGGCTTCACCCTCTTAGCTTCCCAAAAAAATCAATCTCTGAAATGATCATAAGTCTATATCGCTATTCTCTGCAAACTCGCCACAAGTCCGCCAAGAACTTAAGATGCTCTTGGCTGAGCTGCAGAGGGTGAGATGCAGGGCAGGCGAGAGCAGGGTGAACATATGTTGCTCTGCTCGGGGAAAGAAAATACTCAAATGAATCCACCCAATACGTCTTTTTCCAGCCTTTTCATAGATTTTGCCTGATGTTTTTATTCAATGCTAGACAAAAAAAAAAGTCCTCTAATGCATTCTCCTAACAGCAACTCATACATATCAGATCACACCTCTGAATCCCAAAGTTGTTGTTTTCTGTCCTCTATAAAATTTACACGCATGTATGTACTCTACAGACACATAAATTCAATCCACAAGGCCATCCGAAGATGCATATTGATTACCAATAGGATGTAAACTCTAACTTTTACCACTTTGCACCGACACAAGTAGTTTACAGCACAGGCTCCAATCAGCTGCTCACTGCGGTTGCCAGCTCCATCAAATTTAAGACATCCAGCAGCTTTGTTAAACAATTAGTGTCACGATCGCCGTCTGTTCTACGTTTTACACGTGCTGAAGGCACATGTGACAGTGATTGGGTTTAACACCTCCAAAGATTTTTATTGGAGAGGAATTTTATTAAAGCAGACTGTTTGACTCAGTTGCAGCTCGCGCCTTGTTATCCTCCACTTCTTGCTATTAAAGCAGCAGAAAAGTCACTCATGTAGATGAAATTTAGGGTTTTAAATACCTGCGACAACTTAACAATGCAGTAAAAACCCACACACATCAAAAGCATCCCGAGCTCGATTCCAATCTGAGTGCATAATGAAGCAATCTGAGCTGGATTGTTGGCTCGACTGAACAGAGTGGCTGATTTTAACTTACTGGCAGAAAGAGAAATAAAAGTGAACAATTCCCTGCTTGCAGAAATGAAAATTATCTGGCTTCACCACAAGCTGGCTTTCACTGGCATCAAACCAGTAAAAGTACTAAATAAACACAAAACACTGGTGCATCCTGGTGCTTTCAAAGACTGTTAAACTAAAAGATTTGCTAAATGTTTGCACGTGTAATGGGGTTTTAAAAGAGAGTAAATAAAGCAGCGTACCACTGATGCCACTTGTAATTAAAGGAATAGTTCATTTCTTGTGTATTATGGTTCAAGACTATGAACAAATAATATCTTACCTGCTGTAGATAGCTTTTTGAAAGTTTTATTCTGATTGAAATAAAAAAAAAACAACAACCTAACAGCTAATTCAAGTGTGCCCAACACAAAGTACATTTCTGCCAGACCTAAACAAGTTCGATCTCAAAAATGTTTTAATGGTTCACACACACGCACTTTTTTATTCTTTACACATCCGTAAGTTTCAAACTACACTAATTCACACTAATTCAGGCAGAAATATTATAATATTCCTTCTAAAAGTGCCCTTAGCTGCACTAAGTGCTAATGCTAGCTAATTCTGAGGGTGCTTGCACTTGTATAAAAAACTATAGAAATAAATATAAATACTCGTAATGCTAAACTGACCACAACGTAAAGGTTTAAAAATGACATAATTTTTTAAAAAGAAGTTAGCAATCCACTTTGATTTTGGCCCTGCTCAGATTAACCATTAGCTTGTCAATCCAGTCTCATTTAAATTCATTGTTTTCTAAAATGATGCTGATCAAAGAGCTATCTACAGCAGGTAAGATAGTAATTGGTCATAATTTTTCCACAAATCCCTGCTTCAAAATATCTCAAGTATTATGGTTTCTTATAATCTGTGTAAAAATCATAAAAATGGGTGCAACAAGGCCAATTAGTAAGAACAACACGAGGAAGTGTTTAGTTATGCGACTGATGTCATGTAGCCAAGTATTCCATAAAGAGTTTAGAAACGCATCAAAAGAGGCTTTTTAGCTTCACTTCCTATTTGTGCATGAGTGAAGTGAAACGAACTGAGTGACAGACAGGGTGGGAGTGTTAAACACATGGTGATGAAGGAGCACAGGGAAATTTCCGGTCAAAGGGTGGGAAAATTCCTTCGGTTGGCAGGTCAGAGAGAGTAGCACAGGGTTAGTCGGGTACTCACTCTGCATGCACAGCCCATCGGTGCAGTTCTTTGACTGGAGCACCATGCCCTCACAGTCCTTCCCCCCGTTTTTGGGCGCCGGGGCGTTGCATTCTCTCCTCCTCCAGTGGGTGCACTCTGTCCCACAGGTGGACCACTTACTCCACTCTGTCCACAGGCCATCCACTAATCACACAACAGACAGGGCACACACAAGGGTGGAGTGAAAGAGACGGGGGGAGGAATGAGAAGATGAGGATGGATGAGCGCATGAGTGGTTGTTGAAACGGCAAGAACAGGAGGGAGAGAGACACAAGTAAGCATGGGGTGCACAAATATGAGTGGAATAAGCAATAAGCAAACACAGAGTTGCATTACATTTTGTGCAATTAGAGTTTTGTGCACCCCAACCATTTCCACCCACTAACAATTGGGTGGAAATGTTATTTGTGTTAACTCCATACCTGGGCAGAGAGGATTACATGGCAGCTTCTGGATGCCTTGACCTTCACAGATAGCGCCACCGTTGAGCGGCGCTGGGTTGGTACAGCTGCGTGTGCGTTTCTGGTAACCACGGCCGCAACGGCTGTTACACACAGACCACTCTGTCCACGTTGACCATCCACCATTCACTGCAACAAAAAGTAAAACATGCAGGTGATTCCTGAGCAAAGGGCATTTTTAAAAAGTTATTATTCAAAGGCTGAAAGGGAATAGAAAACAAAAGATATGCATTCCTTGATGGAATGAATATAATCCGTTGTCCTTCTTGCCAAACTAAGACTGTTGAGAAATGATACTTATCTGTTTTGGTCAAATTTTATTATGTGTTGAGAAGAATTATCAGCTATTACCAAATTAAATTTTAGCTCATTAGCTGTATAACTGGCTGAGTTTTGGCCACTTTTGGTTTTTGTTAAATTTGATTTGCTATGAAGGCCATTTTGGATTGAGTTAAGAAATGTCATCAGCTGTAGATTCGTAGCCGATGATTACTTTGGGAGTTTCTTTAAAATCCATCCACTCGTTCATGAGATATTTTGCTAACAGTACAGACAAGGTTGACTCCAACAGTTAATGCAAAAGTTTTAAGCAAAAGTATAGAGCTTGAAGTATGTTTTGGAAATAACTTTCAGCTACTAACACTCCAAATTTTTTCTCAAAATGAGTAAAATTTACAAAGTTACAACCATTTTTATGTTGGTCAAACTTTATTAGCTTTGGCAAACATCTAATAATGGATTGACTCCAAAATTTCATCAGTCGTAAATGTGCATCCAGTAATTTATTTGTGAAAGTTTCATCAAAATCCATCAGGTGGTTCATAAGATTTTTTGCTAACAGACTAACAAACATACTGACGGATGTAGGCAAAACAGAAATTGTCCACCCGTGGCTTTTGGTGGCAAGCAACAATGAAATAAATTGTGTATATATTTGAAAAGTTTGTATTTAGACCCTGACATCTCGGGTGATTACTTCGTCCCGCAGCTAGACTGTAAATTTTGTACAGATTGCTGCATTTTCCCATTCGCCGACTCCTCCTAACGCCGCTCTTCCTTCTCTCATCCATCTCTGTCAGCGACTCAATCCAGCGCAGAGCGACACGAGCGTTTGTGGCTGACAACAAGTCTGTGGCATTTAACATGGTGGAACTGGGCCCCTCGGAGCCTCTGACTTCCAAATGTGACGTGCTCGTGAGCCGTTCCCAAAATACTGGACTGGAGGAGTCTGCCTAAAGTCCAACATTTCATGTCTGTTGTTGTTCCTCCAGGGTGTAAAGCTCCATCGTCCCTTCTCCTATTGTTTTCTTTTTCCCCCAAACCCAGTGTTTGTTGTCACCTCCTGTTCCCAGTGTCCTTTTTTTAAATTGGGCTGGAAACATACTACAAATCTTTATTCTTTTTTAAAAATCCATCTTCAGTATCAAACAGCTTTTCCTGTATCCTCCGGGTGTTCCCCACTGCTCTGTGGTGCAGTGTGGCTGTTTTCACATGCAGCACATCTGTACTGGAATGTGACTATCCCATATTTGAAATAAGAAGACTAAACCAACATCAAAGCCTTGTTTTTTTTTTACATTTAATCCTAAAAGACTACGCCAGTGACATGAAAGCTTCGTCTCTGAAATCTGCTCTTACATATCTGTTACACTGATTCCCAAACGCTCACATTGTTTTTTTAATATTCAATCTGGTGTGAAAGAATAAAACGACAAACAAAACAGACCTCTTCAAAAACACCTCTCGCAATTCCAGAAAAAAAGATGAAAATTTTAAAAAGTAGAAAAGCGATTAGTGGATGATAATTACAACTACCTTATGGAGTCAGTGCATTTAAAAGATGGCTGCCACAGCCTATGAACCCTAAAAACAGCCTTAACTCATTCGCATTCACAGACACTGAACTACAGTTTGGTGTCAAGGTAGCTGAGAGTCGTCCCCAGCACACTGTTTGAGTGCCAAGATATTTTTAATATCCTTTTAAAAAATGTGCTATAATTATTTGGAGTGAACTTTGTGTGACTGTTAGCAAAATATCTCATGAACCACAACACAAACTTTAATGAACCTTAAAAAAAAACTAGTACAGTAATCCCGCTACTTCGCGGTTCATATTTCATGGACTCGCTCGATCGCGGTTTTTCAAAGTAAGATTGGACATGACACAGTTGGCTGATTGATAGATGAGCTGCACGATCTGCATTACATTTTTATTTAAAATAAATTATTTAAAATTGTTCAGCACTGCTGCACCTGTGTGCAGCCCACAGCTTGTATATGTTTTTTTTTCCTCTTCATGATGCTTTTTTTGAATGATGCAACTTATATTCCGAAGCGACTTATACGCCGAAAAAAACGATACCTGTATATAAAAACTAAAATAAACTATACTTATTACTATAATAAATACTAAAATAAACTACTACTTACTACTACCGGTACTATTACTACTACTACATAATTTTGTTTCATCTCATGCACCACATGAGATGTAATGACAATAAAGTTTACTTGAACTTGAACTTGAACTTGGATGACTGTATCCCTACTTCATGGTTTTTCACTTAAAACCTCTGCAATAAACGAGGGACTGCTGTAAACATTTACATCTAATTACAATTTATTCAACTCATTTCATGATGGCAGACCCAGGCAACTGATTTTAGAAAACACAAAAGTGGCCATAACTCACCTGGTGTGGTCGTATCTGAGTGTAACTCACAACAAATACTTTACACACTTACAGATATGCAAGATACTACAGTATCACGAGTTTGTGCGTGTTTGTTTTCCAGGTTCAACAGAAACCGCTACAACTTTGTCCTTTTAGTTTTAAGCTCAGGCATGCAAAGCAGCAGGTGATATGCATTCCTGTAATGAAACATTTGCTTTTAATTTCATTTTCACCCCATTGGATGCATAAAATAAATGGGTGCAAGAGGTGATTTTAAGCTTTTACCCTGAAACTGAAATTGTGCTGTTACTCGTTTTCCCAAGAAATGTTAGTTAACATCCAGCGGGCACATGATCAGTCAGCCACAGTCATTTCACGCAGAACAAACTTTTAAGTTTCTAAAAAGCATTTGCTTCATGTGTCATTTGTTCTTTCTTGAGTAGCCATTGATGTTTATCTCCTCATCCATGCTGTGCAGTTACAGTCAAGCTGGCTGATGCTGGTGAGACAGTGTGCTGAGTCTATGTGAGACCCCGACGGGGGTCTTTTTAGGCATGACTCTGTTTCATCATAGCATGATTCAGAAAATCGTAAATCTGCCACTCCAGCTACTGGAAACAATGTGACGCTCTGCGGGTGAATAAAGGGGTTGCTTTTTGTGCAACTACTTCAAAATTAGTTTTGTCTTGACCTGACCTTTGACAAAACCCAACACCTTTTCTCATGTTTCATTCTACAAACCTGTTGTGTACAGAAGCAAATAAATGTGTTGGTAACTTTGCAGCTCATTGATTCAATACTTCATTTCTTGTAAAAGTGATTCAGATGGAAGCAAGTGTCTGATGTACAGCATGATGTTAGTACGTGACAGTGTAAACAAAAATAATAAAAAATAAAATGATTTGCAGTTAATTTTACAAAAAATACATTAAAACATTATGATATATCATTTGGATTCATCTAGACCAGGGCTCTGCAACCTGCGGCTCTGGAACCAGATGCGGCTGTTTGGTCCCTCGGCAGCGGCTCTTTCAAGCTTTGACCAAAACTGACATAATATATGATTATTAGAAACATTACTAGGAGTAAAACATACTCATTTTCACTTTATGGTTTATTTCTTCAAATTAGGATACATAATTTTTCTGCAATTAAATACAATCACATAAGAATGCACAGTTTGTTGTTTTAGTATTTAGAAACTGGGCCAAAACTAAATGTATTTTTTTCTTTCTTTACAAGAATCTCATCTTTTATTTTGTCGTAGAATGTAAAAACATCACTAAATGTTGAAAATCATTAGATATTTTTAGTTTTATAAAATCAACCCTACTATCCAGAAAAGCATCCTCCAACAAACTTAAAGTGGTCCGTGGGCCACCAGTTGAGAATCCCAGTTGTAGCAGGTATTGTGGATTAATTTAGTGAACAAAGGGGCAGAAATGGCTCTTTTGATCGTAACATTTGCAGACCCCTGATCTAGACTCATGTTCACGCTGCTGTTGTTTGGCGTATTATTTTGCACTATTAAATGTTTAGCATATTTTTTGTTTACTGTACTTCTTAGTTTACATCATAGATCCTTAGTACTGTTTCTATTACAATTTATATTTTGCTATTGTTGGATGTAACTTGGACCTTGAGTACACAATTTTGTTCCACCTCATGTACCACATGTGATGCAAATGACAATAAAGATCCTTGAACCTTGAAAATATAGTAATATAGAGTACTAATCCTTGCATTATAGTCATGTTTCAAATAGATAATACCATCTCCAAGCAGCTTCATGTTCCTCTGACCACAGATGCCAGTAATATTTAAAAGTTCATGGGACTGTAGCCAACCTCCCAGGATGTGGACGCAAAAGGAATGCAACCCTTGGCTGAATGATAAGAAAAAACATCCAAAACTTTTCAAGCCAAACTCCAAGGTCAATGTCGGTCACTTTCTGAAGCATTGCCAATCACATTGTAAATCATGATGGAAGAAGACCCAGGAGTGCTTCACTACTGACAGAAAAACACAAAAAAGCCAGACAATTTACCAAAAAGAATACTGACAAGCTCCCCCAATTCTAGGGTATGTTTATGGGCTTGGTGTGTTTTTTTTAAGGGTCCTAATACATAAATGTATTAATGTCTTTCACTAGTCTGGAAGGAAGACACTTTAAACTGCATTAAAATTTCTGATATATGACGAAAAAAATTCACGTTGATGCTAAGGTTGTGAGATTTTTTTACTACAAAGATGAGTGTTTTACCGTAGACGATAACCGTGGCAGTGGTGCTGCGTCTTTTGGCTACGATGTTCTTTGCCACGCAGGTGTAGTTGGCCGTGTCTGAGAGGCGGGCCTGTTTGATTATCAGGTTGTGATCGATGGTGATGTAGAAGTTTCTGTCGTCTGCAGGATCGATAACCTCTTCATTCTTTAACCACTCCACCTGAGGAAAACAGGACGATGGAGAAAAACGAACAACCGAATCATTTGAAAGTATTCATGTGACATTCAAAACACTTTCTGACCACATTAAATGACTGTTTAAAACATTAAACTGTTATATATATCTTCCTGTTTTCTTCTGAAATTTCTCATATAACAGAACAAGATTGGAGCACAGTTGTTTATGTCCCACAGGTCCTGCTACAGAAAGTCAATAGCTATCATGCTCTTTTTATTCTCCCCTACAACAAAGCACTACGGCAAACAGCAGCACGATCAGACAGCGGAGGAAAGAAAACTCCACAACCGTGAAAGCCGAGAGCCTTTCTGACCTTTCGCTGAGTTCTATTTCTCCAAATCATGCTTGATATTAAACGCTTGGTTCCAACAGTACACCAGTTCATTTGAAGCAGTTATTTTACTGTAATTTACCCAAAGATCACCCTTTCCCCCCCTTTAAGAGGTGTAAAGGTTCGGCTTTTTGAAAGGAGATACACATGCCGTCTCACACTGTGCCGTTGCTTTGATTCAAAAATACTTCCTGGTTCTTTTCTTCAAAAGAGGCCGTCCAGTGATGAAAACGCCTGGCAAAGCGTTAGCTTCCTGCGTGGAGGCAAAGATAAGCGAAATGTTTTTAAAAGGTTTTCCTCAGGAGAGATAAAGTAGCTCTAAAAGTGGGGCAATCACTTGATATGAGTCCTGTTGAGACAAAACAGCTGAAGGAAGCCCAGCCTGGTTAGAACTCTTAAAAGAGAAGGATGACTGAGGTGTGACAATGCACTAAGGTGCGTACCAGTACGTGTTTTAGTTTGAGATGACATATACTCCTTTTATTCAGTGGGGACACACTGACAAGGCTGGGACGTAAATATTTTCCCTACTTACCGGTACTCAACATCTTCTCAAATCAAGGCCTACAGAAAGCAGCTGACAGCGCAGAACAAACTTTAATCTGGGAGTGAATTTAATTTGAGCAGAGCTTTACAGTAAACCTCTAAAATCTCCATGTATTCTCTCTGCAGATTTATTTTTTTATTTTTTTATGAGTTTCTTCCTTCATAAACATGTAATGGCTTAATCGATTTCATGGAGCCGGGAGAGATACGGTTCCATCACGAGCTGTCTGCTAACTGAAACTAAACCTCGCTCTTATTTGATTTTTATCCAACTAAATGCCGTGTGGATTTTATTGCACTATATGTGAGATGCAAGGAACTGCCAGTCACTTTGATTTTTGTGTTAAAAAAGTACTTTTTTTTCATGAAATGTTTTAATATGCTTGTTAGCCAAATAACATTCAGCTCATATGAGTGATAACACATTAACAAATTGCACAATCTACTAATAGCAAATGTCGATTAAATTATTTTACCGTTTGCTACTATGCTGTGCCATTAAACTTAAATTTTTCATGTAAAACAACAAAAACGTGTTTTATACTTTGTTAGAAATGCGCGAATTGGTTTAAATATATTAGTTTTGTCTACCCAGATGTAAATATTTCTAATTTTCTGTGAAAAATCATTCAAGTCAGAATTTTCTAGCATTTTCCTACCCTGTATATTCTTTGAAAACCACATAAATAACTTCTTTGAATTCCAAGGTTTGAATCCCAAACAAGAAATCTTATTTTCCAATTTATCGTTAAAGTAAAATATTATTTTGGGTTAACGTTACAAACAATAATTTATCAATCTCGGATTTTTCTATCAGCTGTTTATAAAGTAGCTGCTGCCCCACTAATCTGTTCTCAGACTTGCCATGGTGGCCTTCAAACATCTGTTGTGACTTCCACAAAAATGGCTCTAAACTCAGCAACTTTATAGATATGAAAGTAAAATTTGACCTGGTAGTAGCTGAGAGTCATTCCAAACACATACTTCAGACAACAACTGATCACACACGAACTGTTCCTAAAACTTCACCCTTACCTATTGGAGTAAACTGTGTCTGTCTGTTAGCAAAACATAAACAACTTGACAAGTCTTAATGAAACTCTCAGAAAGTAACAATTGAATGTAGATCACAACTGACTAACTTTTGGAGTCAACAGTTTATGTATATCACAACTAAACATCATTAGCAAACAGAAAAGTGGCTTTAACTTTTTCAAGTTTTCCTATATTGAGATAAAATCATGCTCCGTGAGTATGGAATTGGGGGCCTGTTGCTACAGACTGTTCTGTCCCAATACAAGTGGTGCGAGAGTTTGGTTCGCATTGCCGATAGTAAGTCGGACCCGTTCAGGGTGGGAGTTGGACTCCACCAGGTATGCCCGTTGTCACAGATTCTATTCATAACTTTTATGGAAAGAATTTCTTGGTGAAGCCAGGGGGTGGAGGGATTCTGGTTTGGTGGCCTCAAGATTCCCTCTCTGTTCTTTGCAGATGATGTAGTCTTGTTGGCGTTATCGTGCCATGATCTCCAGCTCTCACTGGAGCAGTTAGCAGTATGAGTATGAAGCAGCTGGGATGAGAATCAGCACCTCCAAATCTGAGGCCATGATCCTCAGTCAGAAAAGAGTGGATTGCTCTCTTCGGGTCAAGGGTGAGGTTCTGCCTCAAGTGGAGAAGTTCCAAGTATCTTGGGGTTTTATTCACAAGTGAGGGAAGAATGGAGCGTGACATTGACAGATGGATTGGTGTGGTGTCTGCAGTACTGTGGACCCTGTGCCAATCTGTTGTGATGAAGAGGGAGCTGAGCTGTAAGGCAACGCTCTCTGTTTACCGGTCGGTCTACTTTCCTACCCTCACCTACGGTCACGAAGATTCAACATGTCTGCTGGCTTCATTAGATAGAGAACTTTACTAAATGGCTTTTCTATGTATGTGAATGTTCCTGTAAAAAAGCCCTGAGACAACGTTGTTGTGATTCGGTGCTGTATAAATAAACTGAATTGAATTGAACTCTGGGTAGTGACTGAAAGAATGAGAACGTGGATACAAGTGGCTGAAATCAGTTTCTTCCACAGGGTAGCTGGACTCTCCTTTAGAGATAGGGTGAGAAGTTCAGTTATCCGGGAGAGACTCGGAGTAGAACCACTGCTCTTCCACATCAAAAGGAGCTATTTGAGGTGGTTCTGGTAAGGATGCTTCCTGGGCATTTTCCTCGGGAGATGCTTCGGTCATGTCCAACTGGGAGGAGACCTCAGGAAAGACCCAGGAAATGCTGGAGAGACTACGTCTCTCGGTTGGCCTGGGAATGCCTTGGAGTCCCACCAGAAGAGCTGGAGGAGGTGGTTGTGGAAAGATGTCTGGGCCTCCCTGCTCAAGCTGCTGCCCCCGCGACCTGACTTCAGAACAAGAGGAAGATAATGGATGGATGGGTGGATGGATGGATGGATGGATGGATGGACGGATGGATGGATGGATGGATGGAGATAAAATCAGAAATGGTAGTAGCTGAAGGTCAGCACATACTCTGAGCATTAGATTGCACATAACATTTACAAGTTGGCTTTAGTGGGCTTGTTTGTGTCACAGTCCTATCTTAAATCTTTAATACTGAACAAAACGTATAAAGAAATCTACCAGAAAGAAGGATCCAGAAGAAAGTTTGGGGGGGGGGGGGGGAGATGCGACAGTGATGATATTGTCACTCTGTGTGACTTTGGTTCTCAAGCTGAGCAAGTCTCTAACAAAACAAATTAAATGATGCAAACAAAAGAAACAAAAAAGATTTTCTTCCTTTTTATTTTTGGCACAATAAATGTTTTTTCTTTCAGTGCTCACATCAGTTGGTGCTGAAACTGAGGCGATGGTGAAAGCATTAGAAATGATCTATTAATGATCTAATGGTTCTAGTTGTTGTTTTTTTTTATGCTTAGGAGAAAAGTGATTGACAGTAAATACAAAGAGGTAGTTATCCAATTTTCACCAATCACAGAGGCAGCCTTTGCAAAACGTGCTGCGTTCGGATGTCAAAAGCACTTTTGTACAGAAAGGTAATTAAAAATTGAACAAAAGAGCTTTTCAGTGCAGATGGAGGGGTGGGAAGGAAAGAAGGTGACAAAAAAAACTTGTGTGAAAGTGGAAAAGTGAGCAACAGTCTGATCTTTAAAAAAAAATGTACAGAAACAGAAATGAAAAGATAACTCTACAGCAAATTCCACACAATCAAAACCACTAAAGATAATATCTTATATATCCCCTGGTCGACATTCTGCTAACAGACTCAAAGCAGATACACAAACTTACACACCTGAGCAAACACACAGACTCACAGCTCGTTAGTATCTGATTGGCAGTGAAACATCCTGGGAGATAATTGGCACATTTCTTGTCATTAGCTCAAAGAAATTGCCACGTGTCACATGTTGTCAGTTTGCTGCAAAAAGAGACGGCAAGAAGAGGGAGATAGGAGACTGAAGAAAGGAACAGGTGCACTTACCTGTGTGTCAAAAATAATTTTAATGCATCCATCAGAAAGTCAGAGGAACAAGCAGAAAGTTTAAAATGATTGAAGACATAAAGTTGAAAGGCAAAGATAAACTAAGAAAAGAAGGTCACATCTCCCTTTTCTTTTTTCTTAAACATTACATCAAGTCCTATCAGTCAAATACATAAACCAATGAAAATATGAAAACATGCAATATAGTTTACACAACTAATAAGAAATATTTCATTGTGATGCCAATTTTGTAGCTTGGAGCGCAGCGTGCGACATTCAAGAGCAAAATAAACAACTGTACATTAAAGATTAGCTTCTTGTTTGTCATTTTTTAGATGCACAACTTGATCTTTACAGTTGACTTGATGAGCTCCACAATCCGTGACTTATCAAGTACATGGAGCAAGATTATGGGTTGTAATTATTAGAAGTGTGCCTAACTAATGTGCAATGTTCAACATGAGTAATTTTATTACTATTATTTAGTTTTGGTCCTGAAACCTTGCAAAAAGCGTTGGACATTTAGGTTTAATGTAAGTGAAGATGCAAATCTTGTTTTAACTGGTTCTTCACAGCAGGTGATGCATTTTAAACACGATGCCCTCCGCTGAT